TGTTCTGTTCTGTGACCCCAGATGAGTTTATTAGGGTGCACAATATTTTGGGGAACACAATAGCACCACACAGAAGTGAGCCACCCTAGGAGCTATCTTGGAGGCCAGCCACAGCAGGTTTGTCTTCTCAACTCTGTGTGCTCATACCAAGGGTCTAGTTTTGAATTTGCACTCACTTGATAAAAAATAATTCCTATAAAGGCAGAATGTCCACATCAGGGGAAAATGAGATATTTATTCTAGCTTTTTCATTTGGCAAAAGGAACATGCATAAATAAATACACTTGAATTACTGGGTGGATATGCACCAAGTTATTTTGTTATGTTATGTTTTTGTTTGTTTGCTTGCTGGTTTTGATTTTTCCAGATAGGGTTTCTCTGTGCAGCCCTGGTTGTCCCAGAACTCTCTCTGTAGACCAGGCTGGTCTCAAACTCACAGAGATGTGCCTGCCTCTTCCTCCTGAGTGCTGGGATTAAAGGTGTGCGCCACCACCGATTGGCTCCAGGTTGGTTTGAGGTGATCCTCTTGTCTCTGTTTTCCTAGTCCCTGGGATTACAGGTGTCGGCCACCAAGCCTGAGTTTCAGAGCACATTTACATTCCTAGAATGAATAATAACGAGAATCTGTAAGCATTTTCTTTTTTTTTTTTCAAAGAAATGAATCTTTTTTTTTTTTTTGAGATCTGTGTACCACAGGTTGGCCTCTAACTGCAGGCTCAAATGATCCTCCTGCCTCAGCCTCCTGAGTTACCTGGACTTCAGACAAGATGTTACCGCACTCAGCCACTACATAAATCCTGAGCACAAAATTAGAAGGCATCAGGAAATCACTAAGGAAAGCAATTTGAGATGCTCCCGTTCCTGCCAAGCCTCACTCCACAGCAATAAAGGAAGAGAAGTGGCCGACACTGCCAAGGAGGAACAAGATGGCGGCTACAGAGTAGGATTCAAAACCTTCGGGGAGAAGGAAAGATTGGGACCAACCAGCTCAGCAGAGCAAGAAAAGAATTCCCATCAGCCAACATGCCTGACGGTAGTAAAAAGAGGGTCCACCAACAGCCAGCAGGGGGAGCCACAAATACCTCCCCACCCTCCGCCACCACCACCCCCACCCCACCCCCGCCTCTGGCTTGGAAACTCCAGCCCAGGCCCTTAGCTGGACTATGCAGGGCTGACCTCTAGGCTGCAGAGGCCAGGCACAGCCTAGAATGAGGGGTGCACGGGACCCCCTGGCCCCATCAACACCCTCAGGCTTATGCACCCATCTCTAAGGCAGGAGACTCTCTAGGGATGCCACAAGCCCAGAAGAACTCAAGACACATCCTCACTGTTCCTAAGAGTTTCCAGTCAGCTCTCCTGACTCTTGGACGGGACTGGACTACAGTGGTCACTAAGAATTTCAGGAAAAATTTGTAGTTGTTCGACTTGTCTTTAAATATACAAGAATACAGAAAAGAAACCCAGGAAGATGGATGCAAGAAACAAAAGATTAAAAATAAAAGACATCTATAATTAGAAACCCACAAAGGAAAAAAAAAATCAGCACAAATTCAGCAAGGTTGAAAAATCAATATGCAAAAATCAGTTGTATGTCTCATGCCAACAATGAGCAATCTGAAATGGAAATTAAACTAATTCCACTTACATAGCACTCAAAGAGATAGCTCAGGAATATGACCAAGGAAGCAAGAGACTAGTGCACGGAAAAGAGAACATCTTGCTGAAGAGGGGCCTGGGGAGATGGCTCAGTCTAGAAAGTGTCTGTTGGACAGCACGAGTTCAAATCCCCAGCATGCAGGGATCAGCTGGGTGTGTGGTCTGCAATTCAGACTCAGTGGGGAGGAAACAAGCAGATCCCAAGCTTACTGACCAGCCAGACTAGCCAATTGGTGAGCTCTAGGCTCAGTGAAAGACCCTGTCTCAAAAGATAAGGTAGAAATGGGGAGTGGAAGACACCCAACTTAACCTCCGGCCTCAAAATACATCTGCACTCGAATATATACACCCATACCACACCACACACACACACGTGTGTGTGTGTGTGTGTGTGTGTGTGTGTGTGTGTGTGTGTGTGTGTGTGTACAACAAAATGCTGAAAGAAAGTAATGATACAAATTAACAAAAAGACATCCTGTATTTATGGGTTGAAGACTCGATACTGTCAAGAGGTCAACACTATCTGGAGTAATCTACAGATTCAATGGGAGCTCTATCAAAATGCCAATGGATGCCAAACAGCAAAAGGAGGACAGTGCAGCAGTGGTGGCACATGCCTTTAATCCCAGCACTCAGGAGGCAGAGGCAGGTGGAGCTCTGTAAATTCGAGGCCAACCTGGGCTACAGAGCAAGTTCCAGGACAGCCAGGGCTGTTGCACAGAGAAATCCTGTTGCAAAACAACAACAACAAAAAACAAAAAAAAAAACAAAAAAAGTTGTCCAACAAGAGAAAAAGCATCACTGCACACACTGGGACTCGGCTTTGAACATTATTTACCTAATAACCATTAAACACTATCTACCAGTACATACAACACAACAAAATGTTCTAACTAGTATAAGACAGGGGCTGAAGAGATAGCTCAGTCTGCAAAATGCTTTCACAGCAACCCCTTGGAGACCTCATTTCCATCCCTAGAACCCACACAAAAGAGCCAGGCACTGTGACAATTGCTCATGATCCAAGCAACGGGGAAGGGAAGGGAAGACAGAGGACCCCTGAGGCTCACTGTCCAGCCAGCCTAGAGTCAGCTCCAACTCAGTCAGAGACCCTGTCTCAAAAATAAACACAAGCCAGGCATGATGGCTTTAATCCCAGAACTTGGGAGACAGAGGCAGGAGGATCACTATGAGTTCCAAGTCAACCCGGTCTAAATACTGAGACCCTGTCTAACTAATTAATGAAAGAGATGGAAAGTTCCTGAAACAGGTTGTCCTCTGGCCTCTACACACATGCACACTCACCTGTGCTGGGACACACACGTGCACACACAAATGAAGAAAAATAGGGAGGTGGTAAGTGATGATCTTTTTTTTTTTTTTCGTTTTTTCAAGACAGGGTTTCTCTGTGTAGCTTTGCGCCTTTACTGGTACTCGCTTTGGAGACCAGACTGGCCTTGAACTCACAGAGATCCACCTGCCTCTGCCTCCGCCTCCCGAGTGCTGGGATTAAAGGCGTGCGCCACCACTGCCTGGCCCGGTAAGTGATGATCTTAAAACAGCAGAGTCAAGTTAGAAACGTTATTTAGAAATGGAAGCCGGGGCTGGAGAGATGGCTCAGTGGTTAATAGCACTGACTGCTCTTCCAAAGGACCTGGGTTCAATTCCCAGCACCCACATGGCAGCTCACCACTGTCCGTAATTCCAGTTCCAGGGGACCCAGCACCCATGGCAAAACACCAATGAACATAAAATAATTTAAAAAAAAAATGGAAGCCGATAGGCATGACTGTACATACCCCTAATACCAGCTTTTAGGCGGCAGGTAGATCTCTGTGAGTTCAAGGCCAGCTAGACCTACAATGAGATGTCCAGGTCAGCCAGGACTACATAGTGAGACCCTGTATTAGTTTGGGTTATTATTACTACGGTGAAACATCATAATCAAAAGCAAGACGGGAAAGAAAGGGTTTGTTTGGTTTACCCTTCTGCATCCATAGCCCATCACTGAAGGCAGCCAGGACAGGAGCTCACACAAGGCAGGAACCTGGAGGAAGGAGCTGATACAGAGACCATGGGGAGAGGGGGGGTCCCCATCCTGCTTAGAGGCTTGGTCCCCACCTCTTGCTCAGACTGCTTTCTTATAGAACCCAGGACCACCTGCCAGAGATCGCACCTCCCAATGGGCTGGGCCCTCCACCATCAATTACTAATTAAGAAAATGCCCTCATTTTAAAATTAATGTATTTAAAATAAAGTACAGAGGAAAAGTATGTATATAATATACCAGGCTTTGTTTTGAATGGAATCTTTTCCCCCAATCCTTAATGTAAAGATTTTGGCCAGGCGGTGGTGGCGCACGCCTTTAGTCCTAGCACTTGGGAGGCAGAGGCGGGCAGATCTTTGTGAGTTCAAGGCCAGCCTGGTCTACAGAGCGAGATCCAGGACAGCACCAAAGCTACACAGAGAAACCCTGTCTCAAAAAAAAAAGATTTTGTGCTATAACTTTTAAAGCCATACAAATAAGAGTGCTAAACTGTGGACTTAAAAGTAGGTGTGTAAATAGTTTTAATCAGTATTACTTGAAAAATGAAAGTATAACAACCACAAAAAAAAAAAGAAAGAAAATGCCCTACAGACTTGCCTGCAGCCTGATCTCATGGAGGCATTTTCTCAGCTGAGGCTCCCTCCTCTCCAATGACTCCAGCTGTGTCAAGCTGACATTAAACTAGCCAGCACAGACAGGAAGCTTGGGGCTGGGCTGGGAAGATGGCTTAATGAGTAAGGATGTTTGCTGCAGGAGCATGGGGTCTGAGTTCAGATCTCAGAACCCATGTTTAAAAAAAAAAGAGAGAGAGAGAGCTGGGCATGGCTGAGTGGGCATCTATAAATCTACATGTTGTGGTGGGCAGAGACAGAGGATCGCTGGGCCTTCTGCTGCCCACCCAGCTCTGGGTTCCATGAGAGACCCTGCCTCAAAGAAATAAGGTGGAAGGTGATAGAGCAGGACACCTAATGTCTCCCTCTGACTTCTCCCTCCCGTGTGTGTGTGTGTGTGTGTGTGTGTGTGTGTGCGCGCGCGCATGCGCGTGTGCAAGAAATATGGATATGCATAAAAAATGACAAGTGAAATGTGTGAAAATAGCTGTCTTTGGAATTGTGACTAAGGGTAGGTTGAGAGATTTATTATTATTATTATTATTATTATTATTATTATTATTATTATGCCACATATATGCCAACAGTTTGACTTTTAAAAGAAATATAGGAATATACAAATACACACACACACACAAGGAATAAAAACTAAGCTGAACAGGGCTGACTGCACACCTGTCTGTGAAGCAGTGGTGACTAGCCCTGGGAGCTCTTCCCTGAAACAGAAGCTTCTGGAAGCCCCAAGCTCTGCTTTCATCAATGGTCTTTCCTTGTATGTGAATGGACGTGAGGCTTCGTCTGAGGCAGCTGACTCTTCCAAAACCATGAGCTTAGAGGGAGAACTGCAGAACATTCAAGATCATTGAGCACTGTAAAGGGTCTAAGGAGGAGGCTGGGGAGACAGGGACCTAGTAGGGAGAATCCAGGCATTGTACGGGGTCAAGGAGGAGGCTGGGGAGACAGGGACCTAGTAGGGAGAATCCAGGCATTGTACGGGGTCAAGGAGGAACCTGGGGAGACAGGGACCTAGTAGGGAGAATCCGGGCATTGTAAGGGATCAAGGAGGAGCCTAGAGAGACAGGGAACTGAGTAGGGAGAATCCAGGCATTGTACGGGGTCAAGGAGGAGCCTAGGGAGACAGGGAACTGAGTAGGGAGAATCCAGGCATTGTAAGGGGTCTAAAGAAGTGTCTGGGAGGACAGGAATGGAGTAGGGAGACCCAAGAGGCTCGATGAGTTGCTATCCATGTTCGCAGGATTAGCAAATATTAATAGAATAATTGCCAATGCCAAATGTTACTTGGGGATGGAAAGATGGCTCAGTGGTTAAGAGCACATACTGCTCTTGCAGAAGACCCAGACTTAGTTCCCAGCTCCGACCTTGGGTCACTTAGAATCACCTGTAACTCAAGCTTCCATGGGAATCTGAGGTCCTCCTCAGGCCTCCAAGAGCACTGCATCCAAGACACATACCCACAGGTGAATACACATACTTAAAATCTTCTTTATTTTTTTCAGTATTGCATTTGCTGTGTTTTCATATGGTTCCAGATGGACACATCCTAGATTATATTTTAAAGGTGGTGGGAACAGAAGCCACACCCCCAGCATTAAGAAAGGTGAGGCAGACTGAGAATGGAATGGGGGCTCTCCAGGTGCAGCCTGTCTTAAATTCTCTGGTAGGAGGAGCTGCCAGGCAAAAGGCAAGGATAATTGGGGTATAGGAAGCCTAAAGGCAATGGGCTCTTGGACTCACGTGAGAGCCCTCCAGGAATTCTGGGAGCCTGAGGAACTTAACAAACTCAGAAAAAGGGAATACCTGTCTTGCCGAGTTGGGCTGTTTTCCAGTACTCTAGACCACCTCCCTAGTAAGAACCAGTCACTCACTCCCCAGGGGATGGAGCTGAGTGCTTAGATCCTTTGCAGCAGAGGGACAAAGGTTGTAGGGAAGGGCCGGCTCTGGGGTCACTGGGGTCTGAAGGGACCCGTCGTCCCTTCTCCTTCCAGCCTTGTGACCCTGGACTGCCTGTCTGGAGGATTTGAAGAGATAGTGAGTGCTGAACACCTGGGACCTCAGAAGGCATCTCTGCAGATAGGGCATTCATTATCTGTTTAATCTTCAGAGAGCCCGAGGCTGCACTTTGACCAAGGGAAGAGCTTTTCTGCTGCAATTCCCACAGACTCAGATCTGCCCTGGAAACCCCTCCCCACCACTGAAAATCCTCTCCTCGCTTCTGTCCTGACCACTAGCCGCTGGTGTTGCGGTATGACCAGTCCCTCAGCTCAGGGGAAGCGGCCTGGCCCACGACCTTGGAGGAACCTGGGAGAAAGCTTCACCAAACGACAGTACTTTTCCACTGCACTGCGCGGCCACCTCAGCAGGCTTTGTGCTGTGCAGAGAAGAGGCAAAGGGCACCAGGCCGGCCCCAGAAGGAACCCACCCCAAATCTCCGCTCTCAGAGATGGGAGTAGTAGGGTCGCTCTGTGGGTGAGGGGCAGCAGGCAGGAATCCTAGAAAGAGGAGGGGCTCTCCCTGGGAGCCCGGAGCCCACGAGTGAGGCTGGTGAAATTTGCATCCGTAAATCCCTCCGCAATGTTTTGGGGGATTCCCACTCCGTAGCCACCCCTCTACTTTCCATCCTTCCAAAGATAAAGCTTAAAACAGTTCCAGCCCGCCCGTGCTGGGTCTTGGGAAGCTCGAGTCTGCGTGCGTGGGGGGAAGGGGGAAGAAAGGGAGGGGACAAGAGAGCTAGCGGTCCCGCCCGGTGATGTAGGCAGCTCAGGGAGGTGGAGCCGCGACGCCTGAAGGAGTTCCCACCGCAGCCGTGCTCTAGGTCTACCTCATCCACCACCAGTCCCTGCTCCAGAGACGTCCCTGCCGCCGCCCGATGGGCGGTAGGGACCGTGGCAACCCCCCCACCCCCATATTCGGACCTGGGGGACATCCTTTGCTCCAGACCCCTGTCCCTTCTTGCTTCCCAGACGGCTGGAGTCATTCCTTGGGGAAGCTGTTTCGGGCCAATCAGCCGCCGCACGGGCATCTCGGCGGCCAGCCGGGCTGGGCACCGGGCATCTATGAAGCCAGCCCTGCCGGACACTGGACATCACGCAACGACTGTCTCTGGCCTCCACCCAGCTTGTCGCGAGTCCTGGGCGGTGGGCTTCTGAGCTCCTTTGGCCTCCCCAGGACGCGGGTGAGCTCCCCGCGCTCCCAGCCCTTGGGACCGCCGCGATGCTGCCCTGGAGACGGAACAAATTTGTGCTGGTGGAGGACGAGGCTAAGCGCAAGGCGAAGAGCCTGAGCCCCGGGCTCACCTACACGTCGCTGCTCTCCAGCTTCCTGCGCTCCTGCCCGGATCTGCTACCGGACTGGCCCCTGGAGCGTCTGGGCCGCGTGTTCCGCAGCCGGCGCCAGAAAGTGGAGCTTAACAAGGAGGACCCCACCTACACCGTGTGGTACCTGGGCAACGCCGTCACCCTGCACGCCAAGGGCGACGGCTGCACCGACGACGCCGTGGGCAGGATCTGGGCGCGCTGCGGGCCGGGAGGGGGCACGAAGATGAAACTGACGCTGGGCCCGCACGGCATCCGCATGCAGCCGAGCGAGCGCAGTACCGGGGGTTCGGGGGGTCGCAGGCCGACGCACGCCTACCTGCTGCCGCGCATCACCTACTGCGCGGCGGACGGGCGCCACCCGCGGGTCTTCGCCTGGGTCTACCGCCACCAGGCGCGCCACAAGGCCGTGGTGCTGCGCTGCCACGCCGTGCTGCTGGCGCGGGCTCACAAGGCGCGCTCCCTGGCTCGGCTGCTCCGCCAGACCGCGCTGGCGGCCTTCAGCGACTTCAAGCGGCTGCAGCGGCAGAGCGACGCGCGCCACGTGCGCCAGCAGCACCTCCGCGCGGGGGGCGCTGCCGCCTCGGTACCCCGCGCCCCACTGCGCCGCCTGCTCAACGCCAAGTGCGCCTACCGGCCTCCACCCGGCGAGCGCAGCCGCGGGGCTCCGCGGCTCAGCAGCATCCAGGAGGAGGACGAGGAGGAGGATGCGGAGGAGGAGGACTCCCGGGACAGCGAGGGAGGAGCCCTGCAGCGCGAGCGGCCGGAGGTGCTCAGCCTGGCCCGGGAGCTGAGGACGTGCAGCCTGCGGGGCGCCCCGGCGCCTCCGCCGCCCGCGCAGCCCCGCCGCTGGAAGGCAGGCTCCAGGGAGCGGGCGGCCCAGGCTCGCTGAGAGCGCAGGGCTAGGACTCGGGCCCTAGACCCGGCCCAGCAGACTGACCAGGACTCTTAACCCGGCCCTGCCCGCTTCCGCCCCCCTGGTCCCATGGCCTGCCGCCCTTGCGGTCTCCGTAGTGGTCACCTTGCTCCTCATCCTAGCTCAGGGTGAAGCCGGATATGCCCTTGATTATTAGGGGTGGAGAGGAGTCCACTTCTCTCCACACTGGGAGTTTCCCTGGTCCTCCACTGTGGAATTGTCCCCACGCTTTATGCCAGGTCTCCCCACAGACCAACTTGTTCTCTTCCAAAACAGCCTCTCAGGAGAAGGGGAAACGTTTGCGGGAACCCTGGAGGGTGGGTTTTGAACCCAGGACCCCGTCTAGGGTAGGAGTAATGGTCCTGCCCTTGGTCTCTTATTCCCTGTGATAAGAACACCCTGGGGAGATTTCAGATAAGGAAGAGAATGGAGTGAGTGGGGAGAATTGAGGAGAGCCCCACCGAGGACTCCCACCTGGGACCATACACACAGGGAGGGATTCTTGGTCATACTCTTTATTTACCCTTTGGAAGGCTCCTGACACTTCACTGCTCTGCCTGTGAAAGGGACTGGGATGGTCCTGTCTACGTGCAAAGGACAGAGTGGGACAGTCGACCGGCCCTACACTAGGCAGCTATCCAAGCCTCTGCCTTGGCATTCCTACAGGGCTTCACTCATCCCCTCTCTTGCAGACAGATAACTGGTCTACCTAGGTACCCTGCATCCTGGACCAAGATGGAACCTCCGAAGGAGGTAAGGACACATGCCCCAAACAAGCCAAGGCTTTCAGGCCAAGCAGGTCCTGATCACAGCTGTACTTCCATGCAGGATGAGGGCGGGAGAGGTGTGAACACAGAGGGGAAGGGAGTCCCTGCCCGGGTATCTCCACAAGGCCATCAAAACCCAAAGATCTATGTCATCTACTGATCGATGTAAATAAAGTGGATATGCTTTTGCAGCTCTGTCACCCCTCCCATGTTGTGTTTGCCAAGCCTGCGGCGGGGAGACTGTCATCACGAACCCCAAGGACAGAAGGGCCCAAAAAATAGCCCTCTTTAGCGTCTGCAGCCACCTCCCATGATCCCCCGGGTTGGGGATCGCTGCCTGGAAGCTGTTCCCGGAATGTCAGGAGAGGAGGCAGTAACATATGCTTTGTCTGAAAACTGCACTAGCCAAGTCCCAGAGGAGCAGCCCCTGTCTATCCGTCTGTCTGTCTCTGCCTCCCACGATGTCTGTACACCAAGGCATTCAGATGCAAGTCTCTCTCGGGTATTTGACAGTTAGGTTGTGTGTGTGTGTGTGTGTGTGTGTGTGTGTGTGTGTGTGTGTGTGTGTGTGTGTGTGCTGAGTTAAGGGGCTTCTCTTTAGCCGTGTTAAGTGTCGTAGCCTGTGGTATAGACCATGGCCCCACCAGGTGGTTCAGAGACGAGAGGAGAGCAGAGGGTAGGAGAGGAGGATGAGCCGCCCAATTTCCTTTGAAAGACTGGAGAAATGTGCCCAGCCCCTGCGACAGTGAGGCTTGAGCCATGATAGCTTCAGCCCTGGGCTGAGCTGGGCACTGATCCCAGAGCTGCTGAGAGCCTACACAAGTAGCCTGGACTGTGGCTGGTGTTCAAAATGACTCTTTCCCAGAGCTCCTGGAACAGAGGGTACAGCGGCCACCGCACTATGGCTGAACCCTTATAGGGTCAAAGGTCTGCTAGAGAAAGCCAGAGCTGGCTCTTCCCATCAGGCTGACAATGACCAACGAGGCAAAGATGTCCCATCTATTGCTTCTCTTGTATAACTAGTCAAGGCTTCTGCTGGTGTTTTTCCCATGTAGACAGAAGAGGTGACATGTTACCCCTGGAGAGGACTGTGGGCTTCAGGGGAAGCTCTGGAGTTGGTTAAGACAGCCTCATCAAATAACAAGGTCACAAACATGCCCTTTTGAACCCAAATGGTACAGCAGATATTCCTAAATGTGTCCCACCCATGGGTACTAGGGCTAGGTGCTGTGGCCCTGAAATTGGGATATTCTCACTCAAAGCACTTAGAATTAAAGGAGCAGACACTGGATGATAATTTACAGGCTTGCTCCCAGCCTCTGGCTCCCTTTCCCACTCTTCTCCTCTGGCAACCTCCCAACACCAAAGGCATACACACACACACACTTGTACAGCATCCCTCTTCCCTCACTCAAGCAGTGCTTTCCAGACCTGGAATGAAAAGGCCTGGGAGTGGTTTTCCTCGCTACACCTCCATTTCCAATATGTGTAGTGGAAGGAGGATTTGACCAACGTCTCTCCTCCACTAGTAAAGGATGAGGTAGGACACCACAGGCGAGTTAGCATGTCTCCAGCTGCCACCTGGCCAGGATCAGGCATTTGGGGCTGCCCCAGAACCCTGGCAGCCCTGCTATCCAGAGAGGGGTTGTGTCCTGAAAAGCACACCCACGTCTCTGATCTTAGGCACCAGCAGTCCAGCAGCCTGATGCCCTCGTATCTTTTGTAAATCAGGAGTAGGTTAAACCAGCCTAGAACTCACTAGGTACCCTAAACTCACTTAGAACTGACAGCAGATCTTCATGCCTCAGCCTCCTAAATGCCTGGATTATATGGTGGTGCACACCTTTTAATTCCAGCATTCAAGGAGGAAGAGCCAGCAGAACTTGGTGAGTTCAAGGGCAGCCTGGTCTACATAGCAAGCTCCAAGCTAGCCAAGGCAACATGAGACCCTGTCTCAAAAACAAACAGTGGCCAGGTGGTGGTGGCACACGCCTTTAATCCCAGCACTCGGGAGGCAGAGGCAGGCAGATCTCTGTGAGTTTGAGGCCAGCCTGGGCTACAGAGTGAGTTCCAGGAAAGGTGCCAAAGCTACACAGAGAAACCCTGTCTCGAAAAACAAAGAACAGTGTAAGCCACCACACCTGCTGGACTGTTTATTTATTTTTTATTTTATGTGCATTAGTGTTTTGCCATGGGAAGTTTCTCCTGAAACTAGAGTTACAGACAGTTACACACATGAGCTGCCATGTGTGTGTTGGGAATTGAATCTGGGTCCTGTGGAAGATCAGTCAGTGCTCTTAACAGATGAGCCATCTCTCCAGCCCTGGACTGTCTGTTTTTAAAACACATTTTTCCAGTCTTAGATCTGTTCCAGGTGCACGGGAACAAAGGGGCTGATAGAATGTGGAGTCTTCCCCATCGTGCTCTAACTAGAACAGTGTGCACTTGTGTAAGCACCCCCCCTTTTTTTTGGCTGGGGTAGGCTCACACATATTAAGGCATCACTCTACCACTGACCCTATATTTAGTGTGGTCTCAGTGATGTGAATCTAGGATTTTTAAAAATTGATTTATTTTGAGACAAGATCTCACAATGTTAGCGCTGGCTGGCTTGAAACTCACTACATAGACCAGGCTACCCTCAAACTCACCAAGATCTACCTGATGCTCTGAGTACTGGGATTAAAGGCGTGTACTACCACACCAGGCTGAGTGTGTGTGTGTGTGTGTGTGTGTGTGTGAGAGAGAGAGAGAGAGAGAGAGAGAGAGAGAGAGAGAGAGATCGATCGTGAGTTTTGTGTTTTGTTTTGTTTTTTGAGACAGGACCTCTCTATGTAGTCCTGGCTGATCTAACTCTCACTATGTAGACCAGGCTGGCCTTGAACTCACAGATCCTCGTGTCTCTGCCTCCCAAGTGTTGAGATTATAGCTGGTTGTGAACCACCATGTGATGGCTGGGAATTGAACTCAGGATTTCTGGAAGAACAGCCAGTGCTCTTAACCTCTGAGACATTTCTCCAGCCTCGGATTTTTCTCTTTTTAAGTAATTGGATGTCCTCTGAACTTTCTAGCCTGAGATTTGGGCTTGTTGGCTGACTTGGCCTGAGATATACTACCAGAGCATTTTAGAGGTTCTCAGACACAGCAATGGTGGGTGGGAAGTGTGGCCTTAGTGAGGCCTGAAATTTGAGGATGGGTCCCAAAACTCTCCTGAGAAATCTGGAGCCGAAATCCATCTCTCCTGATGCCTCCAGAGGGACTGGTGAGTGTGACATACCACATATAGGTCAATGTATATACCAGCCGACCGTCTTGGCTCCCCAGTGTGTGTCTCCATAATGCTCCCCGCTTTCCCAGATGGCATGGTCCATTGCTACCTCTAGGCCTTTACACATGCTGTTCATGCCATTGGGAATAGTTTTCACTTTGGCTGATGTTTTCAATCCTACCCATCCTTCAAGGTTCAGCCATACCTACTCGAAAATTTCCTTAATGTATGCTCTCTACTCCTGCCTCTCTAGGGAGGATCTCTGCCCTCACACTTAACCCAGGGCTTGGTCTCTGCTTTCCCCATGGTCCTTGAACTACTGCGACCAAACGTCTCATCCCTCCTGCTCATCCGCCTTCAATTCTGCACTTTCTTGTATATGCGTATCTTGTCCACCGTAGGACAGAGAGTTGGTAGTGCTCAGTAATTACCTGTTGAATGAACACATGAATGAATGAGCCAGATGGAGGAGCCATCATAGGCCAGGAAACCAAGTGGGTGGAGGCACAGTCCCTTTGCCAAGCTTCTGCTGGGAGATATCGAAGGAGAACTATCCTCAGATGCCCTGTTCAGACGGACGGTGCCTAGGGAGATCCACAGTCTAAGGGAAGCCTCTGCTCACATGTCTGCTCAGCTCGCTAAAGCCCCAGGTTGGGGTCCTCTCCCTCTCTGAGCTGGGCTTTCCCCCATGCCAGAGCTAACCTTCCCTTCCCAGAGCAGGCCGTGGTGATGGCAACTGGCCTTCCAGACACACTGGCTGAGATTGGTACTTGGGTGGGTGGAGGAATGACCACCTAGCCAGATGCAGTCTCTTGGTTAATACACAGGCAGCAGATCTCAGCTCAGGCTGGGTGAGACAAGGTGAGCACCAGCCTGGTGGACTTGATAGCTGTGTGACTTCAGACAGGTTCCTCCAGGCTTTTGGAGCCTTGGTTTCCCATCTCTAGGTAAGCTGACATCTTAGATGGCTGGAGCTGATTCTTGGATGGCTGGAGGATGATGTAACTTGTGTAACGGAATACCTCTCAGTGTGAGGCAGCTATTGGCATTACCATTTTACCTGGAACTCTCCTAAGGCAGAACTCAAATGAGATCAGGTGCCTTGTGCTACAGGATGTCCTTCTGTATGCTGTGAATGTGTGTTGCTCTCATTGGTTGATAATAAAGCGGTTTTGGCCAATGGCGAGGCAAGATAAGGTTAGGCAGTACATTCAAACTGATGACAGAGATGAAGAAGGGCGGAGTTGGGGCAGATGCCAGCCAGGTGCTGAGGAAGCAAGACATGTGAAAAATGAGGTAACAAGCCACGAACCACGTGGCAAAGCATAGGTAAGAAATATGGGTTAATTTAAATGTAAGAGGTAGCTAGTGGGCTGGAGAGATGGCTCAGTGGTTAAGAGCACTGACTGTTCTTCCAGAGGTCCTGAGTTCAACTCCCAGCACCCACATGGTGGCTCTCAACCATCTCTGGCACTTATAATAAATAGCTAAATCTTTAAAAAAAAAAAAAAAAGAGGTAGCTAGTAATAAGTCTAAGCCATTGGCCAAGCACTTATAATATAAGCCTCTGAGTGGTAATTTGGGAAGTGACTGCCGGGTATAATCAGGTGTACAGGACAGAAAGCTCCGCCTCCAATTACAGCCTTGTCTCTGGAACACCACAATGTCAGATCCAATACCTTAGACCTTTTTCATGTGTCTGTGTGTGTGATGTTAGTGTGCCTGTGTGTGTGTCTCTGTGTGTGTGTGTGTGTGTGTGTGTGTGTGTGTGTGTGTGTGTATGGATGCGTGTGTGTGGATGTGTGTGTATGGATGCGTGTTTATGGATGTGTGTGTGTGTGTGTGGATGTGTGTGTGTGTGGATGTGTGTGTATATGTGTGTAGGCCTGATGCTGATGACAGGAATCCTCTTTCACCCCTCTC